GTGCTTGTTGGAAAAAATGCTATATAACTAGAACATAGGATGGATCAGACAGCAATAAAGGCCCTGTTTTGGGCTACTTGCCGTGCCGTCCAGTTTGAACTATTTTACGGTGACTACATGCTCTACAAAATTAGTTTTTATTTTTCTCCCCGGCAAGCTGACTTGGACTAAAGTTGATTCCTTCTTGGTCATGCTGAGTCCTAGCGCTTTGATACAGAAAATGGAAACCGATTCCACAAGGAAACATCCTGGTCAGCAGCAATGGGCCGTTTGTTACCCAGAAATCATTTGTTATCAAAGCAAGATTAGATTCTGAAGAAAAGCAGTGCAACATTTAAAAAAAAACACATACCTCTCAAGGAAACTTCAAGTATAACAAGATATGGACTATATGAATTAAGCACCTCTACCGATGCTTTTGAATTGTGGTGCTGGAGGAGACTCTTGAGAGTCCACTGGACTGCAAGGAGAACAAACCTCTCTGTTCTGAAGAATATTCTGAGTGATATACAAGACTGTGCATGCAAAAGACTAGACATCGTGTAATCCTAGCGCTTTGATACAGAAAACGGAAACCGATTCCACACGGAAACATCCTGGTCAGCAGCAATGGGCCATTTGTTACCAAGAAATCATTTGTTATCAAAGATTAGATTCTGAAGAAAAGCAGTGCAACATTTAAAAAAAAACACATACCTCTCAAGGAAACTTCAAGTATAACAAGATATGGACTATATGAATTAAGCACCTCTACCGATGCTTTTGAATTGTGGTGCTGGAGGAGACTCTTGAGAGTCCACTGGACTGCAAGGAGAACAAACCTCTCTGTTCTGAAGAATATTCTGAGTGATATACAAGACTGTGCATGCAAAAGACTAGACATCGTGTACATATTATTATTAGAACTTTCCAGTTTAGATTGCATAACCCTCTTCAGGTGGATGTGGGTGCTGTTTGAGGTGTGTATGTGTGACAAACCTAGAAAGCATCTTCAAAAGCAGAGACATCACCTTGCCGACAGAGGTCTACATTAAAAAAAACACATGCCTCTCAAGGAAACTTCAAGTATAACAAGATATGGACTATATGAATTAAGCACCTCTACGGATGAATTGATGCTTTTGAATTGTGGTGCAGGAGGAGACTCTTGAGAGTCCCCTGAACTGCAAGGAGAACGAACCTATCTGTTCTGAAGGAAATCAACCCTGAGGTCTCACTGGAAGGACAGACCCTGAAGCTGAGGCTCCCATCCTTTGGCCATCTCATGAGAAGAGAAGACTCCCTGGAAAAGACCCTGATGTTGGGAAAGAGTGAAGGCAAGAGGAGAAGGGGACGACAGAGGATGAGATGGTTGGACAGGGTCATCGAAGCTGACCAACATGAATTTGGTACCAAACTCCAGGAGGCAGTGGAAGACAGGAGGGCCTGGCGTGCTGTGGTCCATGGGGTCACAAAAAGTTGGACATGGCTTAACGACTAAAAAACAACAACAAAGGATAAATTCAGCATTTCTCATGAATGATTTCCTAGGATTCCCAGTGGATATGTACTCATCAATATAGGAATTGAATATATTACCAATATGTCGGTAGCCTTGATAAAGAAAGAATATTTTCTACTACATGCCTCAGGAAGAAGTGATTCTAAGACAAAACCTCCCGGCAAGCATCTTGTAGACGAAGCTGCTCCATTCCACAACATTTCACACCCTAATAAAAACCAGATCGCCTTGAATTCTTCCCATTCTTACGAAAGGAGCGGGCAAAATGGCAGGGATGGAAAGAGCTGCTTTTATGGGCTGCAGGAATCATGCTGAGACCGTTTTTGGTTAGGGGTTTATGGGAATTGTAGTCCCCAACCCCAGTGTTTCTGACTTCTGGTGGGAAGGCACCGAGGTTAACAGAAAGAGGTCGTGTCTGGCAGCGAATTTATTGGAGTACAAGATAGGAGTACAAGATAGGAGAAAGGCATAAGACAGATCCTGGACTTCACTGGTGTGATGTCCTCACAGAACGCCACATTTCCTCGGCACCAATTCAGAGAATGTAGTGCTTCCTTAATGACAGGTCCTGCTCCTCACACTTATTTTAAGAGCTGTTGTTGATACCTCGGTTGGATTCCAACTTCTAAGTTCTGCCAAATTTTAGCTTATTAGGAATGTGTCCTTCTTAGAAGTTGCTCCACCAGCGCTCTCGGGGATAGTATTTTATTTATGTGTTTATTTTAAACGTTTCAGTCACACCTTTCTCCTAAAAGGACCTGGAATGGCTTATAATATCGTTAAAAAGAAACATTATTAGTTAAAGGTAAAGGTTCCCCTTGACATTTAGTCCAGTCGTGTCTGACTCTAAGGCACGGTGCTCATCCCCGTCTCTAAGCCGTAGAGCCATCGTTTGTCCATAGACAGTTTCCGTGGTCATGTGGCCAGTGTGACTAGACACATGACCTTCCCACCGAGGTGTTCCCTATTTATCTACTCACATTTATGTGCTTTCGAACGGTTGGCGGGAGCTGGGACAAGCGACGGGAGCTCACTCTGTCATGTGGATTTGATCTTACGACAGCTGGTCTTCTGACCTTGCAGCACAGAGGCTTCCGAGGTTTAACTCACAGTGCCACCACGTCCCCCATTAGAAACATTATTAAAAGCTAAAAAAACCAAAAACAAATTATTGCCATGTTAAAAAGAATTAAATAAACACATTAAATACATTACAGTACTCAGGACATATTGAAAAGCCACGGATTTAAAAGCGCCGAGGCACAAAGGATCCCATCATATAAAGTCCCTCTCAGGCAGCCCGTCACGAAGGGAAAACCTGCCTGAAGAGAAAGGTCTTTGCCTGTTTGTGGAAGGAGAGCAACGACGGCGCCAGGCTGGCCTCCAGTGGGAGGGAGTTCCACAGTCTGGGAGCAGCCACAGAGAAGGCCCTTCTCCCGTGTCCCCACCAAGCACGCCTGTGAAGATGGTGGGGCTGAGAGAAAAATGCCTCTCGCTTTTACAAAATTAGCTTCAATTCCAGTGGTTATTGCTTTAAAAAAAATAGATGGTTTAATTGATTCTTCTCTTCCCTCCCCGCAATTTCTTGTTGTATCATGACATTCGTGTGCCAGTGATTGCTTCCGGGGATGTCGGCAAGTCTTCGGTACCAAATTCGAGCCTTTGGTACCATGTCCCGAGAATCAAGTTGCAACTCCAACTCATTAAAAACAAGCTCCCCCCCCGATAAAAAGGGAGGGGTGGGTGGATTCGAATCCGAGTCACTGAAAAATAAAAAACCCGTTGAGTTGCCAGTGTGACTTCAGTCTGACTTGACCACTAGTCCTACGACTCAGCTCCCTATCCTTGTAAAATAGTTTTGGAAAAACAATATATAAACACTGAACGCGAGAAGAAATCAAGATTCAAGCCTGCCCGGCGCTCAGCCCTGATAACCCACCAAGTAGATCTCAAGCCTTTGTCCCCCCCCCATGTGCTTAAGCTTGGCTTACGTAGAACCGATTCTTCTAGAATATTCCACCCTCCCCCACGCCGTTCTTTGGTTATATCTGGCAGCCTTGGCCGCCCCACTTGCCAAGTCAAACTCTTTCAAAAATCAGAGACGGAGGGAAGCTTTGAAGGCGCTGATGGCTGGGGGGCTAATGGCTCAGCCCGTCCTTGAGTTAAGAGCTGCTCCTGGCCCGGGTTCAAATTCCTTCCGATCAAAGCATCTGGTGGAAGGCCTCCGCTAATCCGGGGTTTGAACCGCAGCTGTGAGGGACCCCTTTTCTGATGGCAAGGAATAAATCACAGCCATTAAACCATGTCCGGTAATAAGTAAAGACCACTCACCTTCGCGGCTTAAAATGGCACACCGTGAAATTGTATATGTCAATATGTGCATGTATTTAGGGTGTGTGTGTCATTTCCTCACGGGGAGAATGGAACCTTTGCTTTTAGGGCTTAGACACCTTTGAACCACCAAGACAGTCGTTCTTTGGCTTCGAGTCCTAAAAGACTATTTTATGAGGGTTTATGGCTCCACTCCCTGTCTTGTAAAAGGTGCAAAAAGGAAGTCCCTCTTCAAGCTTCCGATGGGCCAGAGTGGGTGGCTGGGAAATGATCCTTCGTTTTCAAGAGGTGTTTAGAAAACGAACCTGGCACAGACTTTTACATATCTTGGCCAAAACATTCATTTCCATTCCATTTACTTCCTAAATTGCTAATGGCTATAAAAAGGATGTTGTTACATACAGCACTGATGTTACCTGTCTGTCATGGGTTTGGAGGGAAAGTTCCATCGTTGTTCCCAAGGGAAAAAAAGTCAATCATGCTGGGAAAGGTTAAAGGCAGCAGGAAAAGAGGATGGCTGGATATGAGATGGACTGGATCTCTAAAGGAAGCCATGGGGTTGAATTTACAACAGAGCAGGATTGTTAAGGATGGGACATTTCTGAGATGGCTCATTCATAGTGTTGCCATAAGGAACAGAGCAGGGTTGTTGAGGATGGCACATTTCGGAGATGGCTCATTCATAGGGTTGCCACAAGTCGGAGGCAACTCGATAGCACATAATAACAACAGGAATGTCTAAGCCATTCACTGGCCCAACAAAGCAGGGAAATGATTACTTACTAGTAATGCAGTTACCTGTAATGAGTTACTTTTCTGAAATGTAACTAGATTACAATGAAGTTACATGCCAAAAGTAATTAAGTGAACAGGAATAAAGGTATTTTAGTAGTGTGCATATAACAAAAGGCTTTTAAACAATAAGGAGCGCTCTGTTGTTGAATTTTGAGATGTGTAAATGTTTTCAGAACTGTATTAAAATATTTTAAATGATGGTATCAGTGCTGAGAGGTGGTTTTTTAAAAAAATTTGGTATCGTTTCTTATGGTATTTTTAAACTGGGATTTATTGTATAGTTTCCATGGTTTGTGAGCTGCTTTGAGTCCTGTGTGGGAATCAAGGCAGGATATAAACAAACGCCCTGTGTGTTCCCCTTTTTCCTCCTCAG